TATTATTATTATTATTATTATTATTATTATTATTATTATTAATAGATTAATTATCATCACTATTATTATTGTTAGTAGTAGTAGTATAAAACTAATTTTATTATCATTATTAAGAGAAATATTGATGCCTCGATATATTCCTTTCGGTGTTTTGATGCTTTTATTGGGCTATTGATACAAGGAATTGTAGCTACCATTCTCTTTATCAGATCAAACCTGATAATCTGTCATTGATCAGAACTGTATAAATTCTCTGGGATCTGGGGAGTCTTATGAATATAATGTTAATTCTGTTTTGTGCAAAATAGGCGGTAACATATCCCTCAGCAATGGTAACTTTAAACGCAGTGTTAACCTTTTAGTGTAATTATAGTCAATTATTGCGATAATTACCTATTAGCAAGGTGCGATAGTTAACTATTAGCAAGGTATAAATCTGTAGTGGAGGGAAGGCGAGGTAGAGGTCGACCTAGGAAAGGTTGGAGGTGAGGGGGTAAAGGAGGTTTTATGTGTGAAGGGCTTTGACCTCCAGCAAGCATGCGATAACGTGTTTGGTAGGAGCTAATGGAGACAAATAGTTTTTAGGACTTGACGTGCTGTTGGAGTGTGAGCAAGGTAACGTTTTTGAAAGGATTCAGGGAAACCGGCAGGCCGGACTTGAATCCTGGAGATGGGAAGTACAGTGTCTACACTCTGAAGGTGGGAAAAAGCCGATGTGTTAATAATAATAATAATAATAATAATAATAATAATAATAATAATAATAATAATAATAATAATAATAATAATAATAATAATAATAATAAATAATAATAATAATAATAATAATAATAACAATAATAATAATAATAATAATAATAATAATAATAATAATAATAATAATAATAATAATAATAATAATAATAATAATAATAATAATAATAATAATAATAATAATAATATAATAATAATAATAATAATGTTAACTCACCATCCGTTGAGAAAGTTCATGATGCCTTTCCTGAAGGTGGTGCTGGAGAGGAAGTGACTCATCATGTAGATGATGGAAGAACCTAAGACGGAAACAAACTATGAGTGATGCTGAAGGTGAGGGTGAAACATTCCGAAAATACATCGCAAAAATAAATTTTCCTATTTAGTTTCTGTAGAAACTGATGAAATCGTGAACTAGGGTCCAGTATTAATAATGACCTTATAAAGGAAGAGATTTATGCAAAATACGTCTTCCCATAAGTTAATGCAACTTAATGGTGTACACTACTCAAGAAGAATCTCCGTATCAGGCTGCATGTGAGTTCGAATATGAAGGAGATATCGCACCTTCACATCTATTCCACGATGACACATAATCATAAGAACATAAGAAAGAAGGAACACTGCGACAGGCCTACTGACCCACGCGAAGCAGGTCCATGCCACCCCCCCCTGGCCTAGAACAATGACTACCTAGTCAGGTCACTTCCACTTAAGGAAGGAGCACGGCACCAGACCTGGTAGCACGAGCTAGTCAGGTCCAACTCACACCCACCCACACCCACTCATGTATTTATCTAACCTATTTTCAAAACTACACAACGTTTTAGCCTGAATAACGGTACTCGGGATTTTGTTCCACTCATCCACAACTCTATTACCAAACCAGTACTTTCCTATATCCTTCCTGAATCTGAACTTTTCCAACTTGAAACCATTGCTGCGAGTCCTGTCTTGGCTAGGTATTTTCAGCATGCTATTTACATCCCCTTTATTTATTCCTGTTTTCCATTTATACACCTCAATCATATCCCCCCTAATTCTACGCCTTTCTATTATTATTATTATTATAATCAAGGGGGAAGCGCTAAACCCGGAGGATTATACAGCGCCTGGGGGGGGGGGATGTGGAAGGCATTCAGGCTTAATTCGGGGAACTGGAGCACAGATCCAATTCCCTAAATCAAGAGCCCCTCACCAACATCAAGGAACCTGTCGGTATTGTATACCATTTTGATATTCATCTTCCTTGAGGGGCCTACGCCTTTCTAGAGAGTGCAGATTCAGGGCCCCCAGTCTATCCTCATGGGGCAGATTTCTGATACATGGGATCAACTTTGTCATCCTCCTCTGTACGTTTTCCAGTGTATTTATATCCATTCTGTAATATGATGATCAGAACTGTGCAGCATAGTCTAAATGATGCCTAACCAAGAACTGAAGAACACCCTGAGGACTTCTATTATTTATACTTCTTGATATGAAGCCAAGGATTCTGTTAGCTTTATTGCGAACACTTATGCACTGTTGTCTTGGTTTCAGATTACTGCTAACCAGAACTCCCAAATCCTTCTCGCAATCAGTAGCATTAAGATCTGCACTATTCAGTTTAAAAGTGGCATGGTTATTGTCCTGCCCAACATTTAGCACTTTGCATTTGTCTATATTAAACTGCATCTGCCACTTCTCCTACCACTGCATCAGTCTACTCAAATCATCCTGGAGTGCACTAATGTCCTCAATAGAATGAATTGGACAGCCTATTTTGGTGTCATCAGCAAATTTGCTTATGTAAAGTAAAAGGACACAAGTGCAACTAATGTGACATTTTATTGTAGCAACGTTTCGCTCTCCAGGAGCTTTGTCAAGCCATTACAAACAGTACATGGACACAGAGGGTATATATAGGCTCAGAGTGAGGTGCAATACAAATTTGCTTATGTCGCTATTTATTCCTTTATCTATATCGTTTATGTAAATTGTGAACAACAAGGGGCCCAACACTGACCCCTGAGGAACACCGCAAGTGACGTGCCCCCCATTCTGATTTCTCCCCATTTATGTAAACTCTCTGCTGCCTATTTGTCAACCACGCCTCAACCCAGGATAAAATTTCTCCTCCTATTCCGTGTGCCTTAAGTTTCCTCAAAAGTCTCTGATGTGGAACTCTATCGAAAGCCTTACTGAAGTCCATATACACATTATCATATTCATTACCATGATCTACCTCCTCAAACACTTTAGCGAAAAAAGTTAGTAAATTTATAAGACAGGAACGCCCCTTAGTGAAACCTTGTCGAGATTTATTTATCAATTTATGCCTATCAAGATGGCTACGAATTGCCTCTGCAATTATTGATTCCATAAATTTTCCCACTATGGAAGTAAGGCTTATTGGTCTGTAGTTCTAAGCCTTGTAAATAGGTATTACATTTGCCATTTTCCACTTATCAGGCACTATGCCATTTTTGTAGATGAATGGTTCAGAGAACCGATATATTAATAAATTAGACACATGTGCAACTCTTGGGTATCTTTATTGAGGAAACGTTTCGCCACACAGTGGCTTCATCAGTCCATGCGTAGGAGAAACTTGAAGAACAGGAGGAGAATGAGGTAATCAGTCCCTCAACCTTGAGTCGATGTGTTCAGTCCATCAATCTTGAATAGATGGATGGACTGAACACATCGACTCAAGGTTGAGGGACTGATTACCTCATTCTCCTCCTGTTCTTCAAGTTTCTCCTACGTATGGACTGATGAAGCCACTGTGTGGCGAAACGTTTCCTCAATAAAGATACCCAAGAGTTGCACATGTGTCTAATTTATCACTATGCCATTTTGTTGCGACATGCTGAAAAGATTAGCCAAAGGTTTGCAAAGTTCCTCTTTATATTCCTTTAAAACCCTTGCAAATAATTCATCAGGGTCTGGGGATTTGTTAGGTTTTAAATTCTCTATTTGTCTGAGGACCATGTCACTAGTTACCGCAATCGTGCATAGTTTATTATCGTCCTGTTCTACATAATTTATTATTTCTGGAATTTCGCTAGTATCTTCCTGAGTGAAAACTGAGAGGAAGTAAGAGTTGAAAAATTCACACATATCCTTATCACTGTCAGTGATCTGACTAGAGTTACTCTTAAGTGGGCCTATCTTGTCCCGAATCTTACTTCTGTATACCTGAAAGAACCCTTTTTGGTTAGTCTTCGAATCCCTTGCGACCTCAGCCTCATAATCCCTTCTTGCTTTTCTTATTCCTTTCCTTATTTCTCTCTTTAATTGAATATATTGATTTCTTAACTGCCTCTTTCCTCTTTTGATACGCCCATATATGCCTCTCTTTTGACCAATGAGATGTTTTAATCTATTGTACATCCATTTGGGATCATTTTTGTTAGCTCTAATTTCCCTACTCGGAACAAAAGTTGTCTCGGCAGCTAGAACTATGCTCTGAAAAACGTCATATTGGCAACCAAGATCACCTACCTGACTCATAGTCAGGACATCCCAATTTAGCTCACCCAGGTAATTTTTCAGTCCCATGAAATTGGCCAAGCAAAAGTCTGGGACAGAGATTTGATTGCAGTTATCCGGGTAACTCCATGATATATTGAAACTAAGTGATTTGTGATTACTTTCCCCTAGCTCATCATTAACCTCAAGATTATTAACTAGTTATTCTTTGTTGGCAAGAACCAAGTCAAGCAGATTGTTTCCTCTAGTTGGTTCTGTCACAAACTGTTCTAAAAAGCAATCCTGAACCGTATCAAGAAAGTCACTAGACTCAAGATTTCCTGTCACATTGTAACAATCAATTTGTCTAAAGTTAAAATCTCCCATTAACACAAAATTTTCATATCTAGATGCCTTATGAATTTCGTCCCATAGCAGCTTACTGAACTCTCTATCAACGTTTGAGGGCCTATAAATCACACTCAAAATTAACTTTTCACGACCCTCGAGAAACTGCAGCCAAACAGATTTTGTGTCCGATGTTTCTAATCTTATATCATGTCTAACACAACAATTTAAATTATCTCTGACATACATCGCCACTCCATCACTCTTCCTGTTGACCCTATCAGTATGGAATAGTTTATAACCATGTATGTTGCATTCATAGGGCATTTCTCTATCTTGCAAGTCGAACCAGGTCTCTGTTATACCAATAATATCTATATTACCTGCACTTGCAAGTAATCTTAGCTCATCTATCTTATTTCTTAGACTCCTACTATTTGTATAGTAAACCTTAAGGGAGCTAGTCACTCGTTGCCCTCTACTATCTCTCTTTGTTTGTTGGACAATTGCTTTATCTTTACTAGCAACTTTATTTGGGATATTTTCTTTTAAACATATCCCTGAGGTATCCTGGTTATATCTGCTGTTTTCAACCCTAATACTGCAGCCTGATTGTTTCCCACAGACACCAATACTTCTATAATCTATCAGTTTAAAGTCCTAGACAAGTCATCAATGACCCCCTCAATTGAAATGGCTAATGCAACCACTCCAGCCCCAGAGAGATGAACCCCATCCCTTGCATACATATCATGCTTGCCATAGAATATGTCCCAGTTATCAATGAATGGAATTGCAAGTTCCTTGCAGTACCTGTCTAGCCAGCAATTTATACCAATTGCTCTACACATCCATTCATTGCCCACTCCCCTTCTAGGTAAGATGCTACATATAATAGACCTGACTACATCTATGGCTCCTGTCTCCTGCCATTCCTGATGTCATTTCCACCAGCACTAAGACAGATAATGGGCTTGTTCCCATTGCCTGACATAATAATATCTAACCTGCTTATTATGTCACCACACCACCTACTGGGAGACACACCCTCTGTCTGACCTTTTTATCTCTGTTACAAAAGGCATGGTCCATATGTCTTACCTGAGAATCTCTCACAATCAGAATATTCTTACCTTGATAAGCAGGAGAGTCAGCTGTACCTTTAATCTCACTAACCACTGAAGTACACTCGTCCTGGAAAACAGAGAATCTATTTCCTATCTTCACATCTTCTCTGCTAACCTTCCTTATCATCCTTCTTCCTGAATTGTGAACCACTTGCCACTTAAAGTGGCTGCCACTCTCCAAATCACTGCTGGTAACTTTTTCCTCTTCACCAGCTACCACCATCTCACACTCACTCCCAAACGTATCTAGACGAAGCTTCAGCCTCCTGTTTTCCTCCTGAAGAAGTAGAACCTCCTTCTTCAACACTTTAACCTGAGATTTTAAAACACTACAACAAGCCATGGTGCTAGGTAACACCCCATGTTAATCTCAGACAGCTTAGGACAGGTATGACCACACGTGATGTGACCTCAGCGTACTGAGGTCACATCGATCTCTTCTGGAATATCACTCATACAGAAACAGTACCGATCCTAATACTGATCCTTGTGAAGGTCCACTTGTTACATTTGCCCGTTCTAGCACCTCCTCCCACACACTGATTCACTGTAGTGTACTCCTTTTTATACCTGTCGTCCCATGTTAAATTGCCTGTCTCTTGTAAGGACAGGTGCCATGTGTCTTATTACAGTCCAAGAGTATGTAGTTCATCCATACCTCTACTTCTTGCTTCACTTCTCTTACATTTGCCATCGAGTTTCGGCATTTCTGCGAGACAGAATTTGCCATCTCCAAACCTGTATTTCATGTTATTTATGAAAACTCTTTTCTCCAATTGCTTTTCACTCTCCTGCTGATTAGCCCGGTGGCCTGGTGGCTAAAGCTCCCGCTTCACACACGGAGGGCCCGGGTTCGATTCCCGGCGGGTGGAAACATTTCGACACGTTTCCTTACACCGGTTGTCCTGTTCACCTAGCAGCAAATAGGTACCTGGGTGTTAGTCGACTGGTGTGGGTCGCATCCTGGGGGACAAGATTGAGGACCCCAATGGAAATAAGTTAGACAGTCCTCGATGACGCACTGACTTTCTTGGGTTATCCTGGGTGGCTAATCCTCCGGGGTTAAAAATCCGACCGAAATCTTATCTTATATCTTATCTTACATATTATGCATGCCATTGTTACTGGCTTGATTTTTTATTTTTCCTCACTTTTTACCTCTTCTCGGTTTCAGAGTTACATTCCTATATTCTTGGTCTCTTGCAATTACCCCATAACCAGTGACCTATTGTAAATTTTAGCAACATGTTTGGACAGTGGTTCAGCATATCTTCATAGAATCAGTAGTGACACTTTAACAAGTTCCTTTGCCTTTGATATGTCCATCTCTCTCAAAAGTCTCTTCACCTTTTCCCCTTTTATGTGTACGGTACCCAGGACCAGATGCATCCTTTATTTTCGACTCTCTGGTTCCACCGAGAACACTTTGTTAAATCTTTTGTTCTTTGTAGTGTCACTTGAGCTCTTCTCTTTCCTCCTTAGATTTACGTACTATTTTACTGCTTTTTTTTCTTCTTATATGTTTGTGTATCAATATTGGTTCGGATTTGACTTGTGTTGCAATGTTATTCTCAAACTGGTACTCACTTTCTCTTCTCACACTTATTAATTTCTGTTCCTTCCCCCTTTATCCTATCTTTCGATTTTTATATTTTTTTCCCACAATCTTTAGCCTCGTGTTTTTTCCTCTTTGTATCTTTAATTAAACCTGGGGATATTTTTGTTTTTACCGATACCTCTTCTTCAATTAGATATGGAGTTCTCAGCATAACTTAAATGATGAATCACACGCTCCATCATCTCGTTCGTTGCTCCATCATCTCGTTCGTTGTGTTTCCTTCAGTACTGGATGATTGCTAGCGTCAATACGGGATTAGCATTTTAAAACAATTTGAAAAATGTACAATAGGCTGGTAGATAGCAACTCTCATAGGAGAGAGTTTTCTCCTGTCTGTTCAGTGTGTAATGGAAACCACTTATTTTTTTTATGATCCTGCTGGTATTTCTGATCTTTCTTCCATCTGATGATAGATAAATCTTACAAATATCTACTGGCTTTCAGAATAAGCAATCCATACCTTTACTTGTATGTGTACTTACTATTCGAACTTAATACTGTAATATTTCCTTTAAAAAGTACAAGACCTGGTCTGAGACTAAGCTGTGGGGATGATAATCTTCAGGACCACTAAGAGGTAGATCTTTTTTCTTATTTTTTTTTGCTTTAGCAGTAACAGAAGAACTAGACCCTCGCCACTAAGACGTATTCTGCAGTGTGCCAACTTACCCTTGAAATATGAGATATCATCAAACAGTTCCTCAATTTTATCTGGCTTGAAGACAGGTAGACTTATACTATGGGAAGATGGTTGACTGTCTATTCTGAGAACACGTTGGAACGTCTCCAGCATTGAGTGCTCCAGTGTCTTATTTGATGGCATCACCTGAAAGAATGAGAGCAATGAGCTTCCTGGTAGTCTTAGGTCCTCAATAAAACCAATAAAATAAAATTATTAACTGAGAGTTTTTTTTAACATTTTGCAATTTAATTAATATAATTTATCTTAGAAATAGGTTATTTTGGGCTGATTCATTTAAGCTATAAATTCCACCTTCTCTCTGTCAACAATCCAAAAATGCGAAGTAAATGGAGCGATACATGTGAATAGGATCTGTGGATTTTTTTAACTAATCGAAAACAAAATAATAGGGATATTGTTAATTTCCTAAAATATATATGAAGTGTAAATACTTTATTGCCATAATCACGAAAGCGACGTCCATCTGAAGTTCATGGTAGATAACGTGCTCAGCCTTCCTCTGGATGACTCACAAAAGGAACAAGTTTTACTACCAAGCAGATGTGATCATCAACTTCCCAAATCTCTATTCCCTCCTTCCCATCCTCATCAACAGCGTCCAGTCATAATAGAATCAAAGGCACTTAATACCGACTAACTGACAAGACACTTGTGCAACATCTGTGTATCTTCACAGTGACACATTTCGTCAACAGGAGTTTTATAGTTGATTATAAGACAGGAGAAAGAAAACTTACAGAGAACCAGATAAGCGGAATTAGTAGTAATCACAAGTGAGGGGGTGAGGGGGTTAGTGAAGATCTAATTTCCTTGCCGTGGAAGTAATAGTCAGGTTTGACTTATGTTTAAACAGTAGTAGTAGTAGTCAGTTAGCCATGTAATAAAATCCTGTTAGTTACGAGTGTTGAGAGCTACTCATTTAAACATGTTTAATTTTTATACATTGAATATAAATATGACAAGAGCCACTAGACAGTCTGCGTTGCTCCTCAGGTTTAAATTCGAAAATGATATGCACATTATATACCATTTTCATTGTTCCAGACTATGGAGCTGAACTATTCTCCAGGTTGAGGGAATACCCAATACCCACCTTTAACGATTGATAGACTGATCACATCATCTTAACCTCGCCAATTATCTGCTGTCTCCATTATTATTCAACTCGGTAATTAACTGAGGAAGCCTACCTTGCAGACGAAACGTTTCAGTAATAAAGATACCCAAGTTAGGTCTTTAGGTTTCATTATTTGTGGGCGCTAGTGAAAATGTAATTTATGGGTTATGTAAGTAGTGGTCAGGTTTGACACGAAATTAAGAAGTGGCCCAACGTATAGGAAGTTCTGTTAGTTACGAAGCCTTTGTACTATATTTTCTGTTGTAAGATTTTCATTCTCTATTCATCAGTCATCACAAGCATGACTATGTCCTCGGCAGGCCGGAGGTGGTAGTCAGACCTAGTCACACTAGTGCTCGGGATTCTGTCCAGTGTCGGGTTTTGCCCTGAGAAAAGACGAGGTTATTGAGGTGTGGGGAAGAAAAAGAATCATATAGAACAGTGGAAAGAAGACACCAGCTACCCATCATTGATGTATATAATTACTACATCACACGAGAACATGAAGGCATGCCGCATGCCCGTCATAGGGTGTATGGCACATCGATGGTAGGATTGTAATCATCCATCTTCGGCAGTGGGATGGAACTATCGGGTCCCCATCATAGGACAAATGACCCCAACTTGTACATTACAGATCCTCCTTCAGGAACCAATAATAGGTCTTCATCTGATGAAGATTTGTTTCATGTTATTGCTCTTGAGGATATCATTATTTCCGTATTAGACTGATAAGGTTTCCTGGTGGGCCAGATGCTGAGTGAAAATTCACATTAACATGGCTGGAACAATTCCCCAAAAACCCTCTCTTAGGAGAGGAACTCAATGACAACATTCCAATCCATCTTGGACTATTATCAAATTACTTTCTGGAGTAAGAAGAGTAGAGAAGGCAGAAGATAGTGCCTTCTCTACATTTCTCGCCCCAATTGCAACTTAACGATTGGTCAAAACTGTCCAATTTACAAGGAAGAGAGTTTAAAACAAAAACAAAAGACTAAACATCAAAAGAACATTACAAAAGAACATTGACAGTCATCGAAAGAACTGAATTCCGTTATGTCTCTAAATCCTATTAATTCTTGTCACTCAAACGGGATTTCATAATGTCACTGGAAAAATATCAAGAAACTGAATTGTATATACTCTGATCAACACCAACATCCTCTTTATTATAATTCACAGTGAAGAAGTCATGTATAGGGAATTGAACTATCACTGTGACTCAAACATAATTAGAGACCCTGGCCCCATAGTATAATTAGATATAAGAGGAGGATTCCAGGCTCAGTGAGATTTAGAGCGGCGCAGCCTTCATGTTTTAGTTCTTTAGTATGACTAATCTGAAGGAGAATTAATCGTGTGTAGCTCAAAAATACTGACAGTACAGATGGTCACTGATTGTATAGGACAGTGGTTTGTAGACTCTATCTTCTAGAATTTAATTGATTTGTCACTAATAACTTTAAAGAAGAGACTATTCCATTGCTTCACGAGTTCGTGAAAAATCCTTTGCTATAATTCGTGTCAAAACTCTTCATCAAAGGTCTGGGAGGGACTTAGAACTCGGGTGCTTTGTTACTGTAAAGATGAATGAGGACAGATGATCGTAATATATTTTGCTGCTGCAGGAACCTCTATGAGCAGAACAAAAAAAAACATAGTCGTCGAATATCATTAGCCTTGTATAGTTCTTTCTGTGAACTCTCTCGGGGTAACACACTGCGGATTAACATTAGAAGGATGGCTCTCGCTATCGTTAATAATCCTGAACGTGTTTATCTATATAGTAACAGAATGGCCAACACAATTCAATTATCCTATGGTGTGATCCTTTATCCAAGGATGCTATGTTGTAATCCATTATTTTAAAAAAGGAATAAGATTCCTATCTCAGAGAATATTAACCACAAATATGCAGTATCGATAAGTCAACAGTTGATGCAGATACCCAGCAATGGTAAGCTGGGCATCAGTATCATACATAATAACTATTATCAGTAAGGTAGAGAATGCTTAATCAGTGTTTGTCAGTACCAGAATATCAACGGATTCTTCACTTGTATTCAACGACTGGTTGATTACTGATACCTGATACGAAGCAACAACACTGGTATGCCAGTTATAGTGTGGTACATAGTCTGTGGTACGACCATTGAGTTATAGTGTGGTACACAGTCTGTGGAACGACCATTGAGTTATAGTGTGGTACATAGTCTGTGGTACGACCATTGAGTTATAGTGTGGTACATAGTCTGTGGAACGACCATTGAGTTATAGTGTGGTACATAGTCTGTGGTACGACCATTGAGTTATAGTGTAGTACATAGTCTGTGGTACGACCATTGAGTTATAGTGTGGTACGTAGTCTGTGGTACGACCATTGAGTTACAGTGTGGTACATAGTCTGTGGTACGAACATTGAGTTATAGTGTGGTACGTAGTCTGTGGTACGACCATTGAGTTATAGTGTGGTACGTAGTCTGTGGTACGACCATTGAGTTATAGTGTGGTACGTAGTCTGTGGTACGACCATTGAGTTATAGTGTGGTACGTAGTCTGTGGTACGACATTGAGTTATAGTGTGGTACGTAGTCTGTGGTACGACCATTGAGTTACAGTGTGGTACGTAGTCTGTGGTACGACCATTGAGTTATAGTGGGGTACGTAGTCTGTGGTACGACCATTGAGTTATAGTGTGGTACATAGTCTGTGGTACGATCACTGAGTTATAGTGTGGTACGTAGTCTGTGGTACGACCATTGAGTTATAGTGTGGTACGTAGCCTGTGGTACGACCATTGAGTTATAGTGTGGTACATAGTCTGTGGTACGACCATTGAGTTACAGTGTGGTACGTAGTCTGTGGTACGACCATTGAGTTATAGTGTGGTACATAGTCTGTGGAACGACCACTGAGTTATAGTGTGGTACGTAGTCTGTGGTACGACCATTGAGTTATAGTGTGGTACATAGTCTGTGGTACGACCACTGAGTTATAGTGTAGTACATAGTCTGTGGTACGACCATTGAGTTATGGTGTGGTACATAGTCTGTGGAACGACCATTGAGTTATAGTGTGGTACATAGTCTGTGGTACGACCATTGAGTTATAGTGTGGTACATAGTCTGTGGAACGACCATTGAGTTATAGTGTGGTACATAGTCTGTGGTACGACCATTGAGTTTATAGTGTGGTTACATAGTCTGTGGAACGACCATTGAGTTATAGTGTTGTACATAGTCTGTGGTACGACCATTGAGTTATACTGTGGTACGTAGTCCGTGGTACGACCATTGAGTTACAGTGTGGTACATAGTCTGTGGTACGACCATTGAGTTATAGTGTGGTACGATGTCTGTGGTACGACCATTGAGTTATAGTGTGGTACGTAGTCTGTGGTACGACCATTTAGTTATAGTGTGGTACGTAGTCTGTGGTACGACCATTGAGTTATAGTGTGGTACGTAGTCCGTGGTACGACCATTGAGTTATAGTGTAGTACATAGTCTGTGGAACGACCATTGAGTTATTGTGTAGTACATAGTCTGTGGTACGACCATTGAGTTATAGTGTAGTACATAGTCTGTGGAACGACCATTGAGTTATAGTGTGGTACATAGTCTGTGGTACGACCATTGAGTTATTGTGTAGTACATAGTCTGTGGTACGACCATTGAGTTATAGTGTGGTACACAGTCTGTGGTACGACCATTGAGTTATAGTGTAGTACATAGTCTGTGGTACGACCATTGAGTTATAGAGTTGTACATAGTCTGTGGTACGACCATTGAGTTATAGTGTAGTACATAGTCTGTGGTACGACCATTGAGTTATAGTGTAGTACATAGTCTGTGGTACGACCATTGAGTTATAGTGTAGTACATAGTCTGTGGTACGACCTTGAGTGATAGTGTAGTACATAGTCTGTGGTACGACCATTGAGTTATAGTGTAGTACATAGTCTGTGGTACGACCATTGAGTTATAGTGTAGTACATAGTCTGTGGTACGACCATTGAGTTATAGTGTAGTACATAGTCTGTGGTACGACCATTGAGTTATAGTGTAGTACATAGTCTGTGGTACGACCATTGAGTTATAGTGTAGTACATAGTCTGTGGTACGACCATTGAGTTATAGTGTAGTATATAGTCTATGGTACGACCATTGAGTTATAGTGTGGTACATAGTCTGTGGTACGACCATTAAGTTATAGTGTAGTACATAGTCTGTGGTACGACCATTGAGTTATAGTGTAGTACATAGTCTGTGGTACGACCATTGAGTTATAGTGTAGTACATAGTCTGTGTACGACCATTGAGTTATAGTGTAGTACATAGTCTGTGGTACGACCATTGAGTATTAGTGTAGTACATAGTCTGTGGTACGACCATTGAGTTATAGTGTAGTACATAGTCTGTGGTACGACCATTGAGTTATAGTGTAGTACATAGTCTGTGGTACGACCATTGAGTTATAGTGTAGTACATAGTCTGTGGTACGACCATTGAGTTATAGTGTAGTACATAGTCTGTGGTACGACCATTGAGTTATAGTGTAGTATATAGTCTATGGTACGACCATTGAGTTATAGTGTGGTACATAGTCTGTGGTACGACCATTAAGTTATAGTGTAGTACATAGTCTGTGGTACGACCATTGAGTTATAGTGTAGTACATAGTCTGTGGTACGACCATTGAGTTATAGTGTGGTACATAGTCTGTGGTACGACCATTGAGTTATAGTGTAGTATATAGTCTATGGTACGACCATTGAGTTATAGTGTAGTACATAGTCTGTGGTACGACCATTAAGTTATAGTGTGGTACATAGTCTGTGGTACGACCATTGAGTTATAGTGTAGTACATAGTCTGTGGTACGACCATTAAGTTATAGTGTGGTACATAGTCTGTGGTACGACCATTGAGTTATAGTGTGGTACATAGTCTGTGGTACGACCATTGAGTTATAGTGTGGTACATAGTCTGTGGTACGACCATTGAGTTATAGTGTGGTACATAGTCTGTGGTACGACCATTGAGTTATAGTGTGGTACATAGTCTGTGGTACGACCATTGAGTTATAGTGTGGTACATAGTCTGTGGTACGACCATTGAGTTATAGTGTGGTACATAGTCTATGGTACGACCATTGAGTTATAGTGTAGTACATAGTCTGTGGTACGACCATTGAGTTATAGTGTGGTACATAGTCTGTGGTACGACCATTGAGTTATAGTGTGGTACATAGTCTGTGGTACGACCATTGAGTTATAGTGTGGTACATAGTGTGTGGTACGACCATTGAGTTATAGTGTGGTACATAGTCTGTGGTACGACCATTGAGTTATAGTGTAGTACATAGTCTGTGGTACGACCATTGAGTTATAGTGTGGTACATAGTCTGTGGTACGACCATTGAGTTATAGTGTGGTACATAGTGTGTGGTACGACCATTGAGTTATAGTGTGGTACATAGTCTGTGGTACGACCATTGAGTTATAGTGTGGTACATAGTCTGTGGTACGACCATTGAGTTATAGTGTGGTACATAGTGTGTGGTACGACCATTTGAGTTATAGTGTGGTACATAGTCTGTGGTACGACCATTGAGTTATAGTGTGGTACATAGTCTGTGGTACGACCATTGAGTTATAGTGTGGTACATAGTCTGTGGTACGACCATTGAGTTATAGTGTGGTACATAGTGTGTGGTACGACCATTGAGTTATAGTGTGGTACATAGTCTGTGTACGACCATTGAGTTATAGTGTGGTACATAGTCTGTGGTACGACCATTGAGTTATAGTGTGGTACATAGTGTGTGGTACGACCATTGAGTTATAGTGTGGTACATAGTCTGTGGTACGACCATTGAGTTATAGTGTGGTACATAGTCTGTGGTACGACCATTGAGTTATAGTGTAGTACATAGTCTGTGGTACGACCATTGAGTTATAGTGTGGTACATAGTCTGTGGTACGACCATTGAGTTATAGTGTGGTACATAGTGTGTGGTACGACCATTGAGTTATAGTGTGGTACATAGTCTGTGGTACGACCATTGAGTTATAGTGTGGTACATAGTCTGTGGTACGACCATTGAGTTATAGTGTGGTACATAGTGTGTGGTACGACCATTGAGTTATAGTGTGGTACATAATGTGCGCTGTCAAAATTTGGTAATAGCGTAATAAGAAATCTGAGCTATTGAAAACTAGTCACAGTATGGTAGAAAGTCTGAGCTGTTGAAAGTTAGTTATACTGTAATAAAAAGTCTGAGGCGTTGAAAGCTAGTCATAAGGTAGTCAGTCTGAGGTAATGATAGGCGATAAAAGGCGTGGATATCGGTTAATTATATCAAAGTATATAAGATAAGATAATTTTTCGTTCGGATTTCTAACCCCGGAGGGTTAGCCACCCAGGATAACCCAAGAAAGTCAGTGCGTCATCGAGGACTGTCTAACTTATTTCCATTGGGGTCCTTAATCTTGTCCCCCAGGATGCGACCCACACCAGTCGACTAACACCCAGGTACCTATTTGCTGCTAGGTGAACAGGACAACCGGTGTAAGGAAACGTGTCGAAATGTTTCCACCCGCCGGGAATCGAACCCGGGCCCTCCGTGTGTGAAGCGGGAGCTTTAGCCACCAGGCCACCGGGCCACCACCACCATATGATGATCTTGGTTTAAGTATCTCTCCCATCCAGCGAGTTAAACCCGTTTATCTGCCGTCAATCCTACTGCATTTACTGATTCACTAATAAATGTTATAATCTGTTTTTGAATTGCTAAGTGTAGAATTTAAAACACCTGCACACTACCTATACACAGTAACTATCTACATGCAGTTACTATCTACACGCAGTATCTGCATTGATTAACTATAAACAGAGAAACTACCTACACACAGTAAGTTTTACATACTTGTGTCCTTTTGTCTAACATATTGTCAGTAATTCTACCAACTTTAATACACTAAGTAACTACCTACACTAGTAAATATTTACACTTAGTAAATAACTTCAATCAGTAACTGCTCACATTCAGCGATTACCTGAACCCAGTTACTACAGAGCTTCACCAGGAGTCACAAGTACTGTAAAGTAAAAGGACACAAGTGCATCTAATGTGACATTTTTATTGTGGCAACGTTTTGCTCTCCAGGAGCTTTATCAAGCCGTTAAAGCTCCTGGATAAAGCTCCTGGAAAGCGAAACGTTGCCATAATAAAAATGTCACATTAGTTGGTAATTCTACCAACTTTATTACAGTCACAAGTACTGTACATAAAGACAACTACAGCAACAGGCACGATAAAAGCACAATCCATCATCTACATACCTTCCCTAACATGCACATCACAGGTACAGTACATCACTAAACTGGAGAAATGGTCTGGTGATACCGACAAGATGTGGAAAAAGACACTTATGTGCAGTTCAGGACATTTATTACGGGAAACGTTTCGCCACGAGCTGCTTCTTCAGTCAGTAGTTAGGTGGAGTGTCGCTTAGGTAGTAGTAGTAGTGGAACTAATGAAGATTGAGACACTTACGCAACGTATGGGAATCTTTATTGAGTAAACGTTTCTCCACACAGTGGCTTCATCAGTCCAATACAAAGCAGTGAGGAGGAGTTTGAGGTAATCAGTCCCTCAGCCTGGAGTCGATGTGTTCAGTCCATCAGTTTTGTTAAAAGTGCAGCATAGGCTGAGGGACTGATTACCTCAAACTCCTCTCTCTGCTGTGTATTGGACTGATGAAGCCACTGTGTGGAGAAACGATTCCTCAATAAAGAGTCCCATATGTTGCATAAGTGTCTCAATCTTCAACTTGTCGGTTTTTAAACCATTTATCACACAGTGGAACTAATGTTATCTCAGTATTAGGACTGAAGAAGTCACTCGTGGAGAAACGTTTCCTTTGACAAGTGTCCTGAACTGTACATAAGTATCTTTTTCCACATCACTAAGTTAGCTACACTGTCATGCACCATGCAAGTTAGGAACGAGTTTTCCCGTCATGCAAAATTCTTCCCCACCATGCAAGATTTGGTTTAGAATTTGGTTTAGCAAACACTAGGAATTATTTATTAGAAAGTGTTTCAGTCCTGGGACCTTGATCACTTCTGTAATCCAAATATGACACACGTGCAACATGCATGATACAAGTGCTGCTGTTTACCAACATAGCTAACTGAGATGAGATGCAGGTAAGTAGCAAAGCCTTCGCTTAGCCACAAGTTGTTCCACCATCGAGGGGTAACTAGGTTGCCAAACCACTGGTGGGCTATCTCATGCGCCTGCAGCGACACAACTCTTTCCTTGTGGTCCTCGTTGTCTTCTTCTGGCTCGTACAACATCATTCTTTCCCTATCCAGAAACAAAAATTAGTTTATATATGTCATGCCGAATTGGTAAAACTTGCGATTTTGGCTTAAATTGTAGCAACACTCTTCTTGCCTTACAAGGCAAGCGGAAATTTGTGTATGCAGTAATTTAGCAAAAATCATTCTGAGCCTATCGAAAGAAATATATTTCGTTGTGTTTGTTTATTTTTAAATTATTGTAAACTTACCTAAAATATATTTAGTTGAATTAGGCTAAATTAAATTCCACTTGTTATAATAAGGTTAGGTAAATTGTCTAAGGTTCTTTAGGTGCAAAATTATTAATTTTTACATTAACATAAATGAAAAAAATATAACCTTAAACATATAAAAGAAAATTTTAGAAAGAACTTAATTTTAAAAGAGTTCTTGCTAATTGACCAGTCTTACGTGTACGGCACGACACAAACACACACACACACACACACACACACACACACACACACACACACACACACACACACACACACACACACACACACACACACACACACACACAAAGTCATGAAGATTTTGGAAGGGCAAAGAAGGCCGCAGACGGAGTACAGTCTAGGGGGTCAGAGACTACAAACCTCACTCAAGGAAAAAGATCTTGGGGTGAGTATAACACCAGGCACATCTCCTGAAGCGCACATCAACCAAATAACTGCTGCAGCATATGGGCGCCTAGCAAACCTCAGAACAGCATTCCGACATCTTAATAAGGAATCATTCAGGACCCTGTACACCGTGTATGTTAGGCCCATATTGGAGTATGCGGCACCAGTTTGGAACCCACACCTAGCCAAGCACGTGAAGAAACTAGAGAAAGTGCAAAGGTTTGCAACAAGACTAGTCCCAGAGCTAAGAGGTATGTCCTACGAGGAGAGGTTAAGGGAAATCAACCTGACGACACTGGAGGACAGGAGAGATAGGGGGGACATGATAACGACATACAAAATACTGAGAGGAATTGACAAGGTGGACAAAGACAGGATGTTCCAGAGATTGGACACAGTAACAAGGGGACACAGTTGGAAGCTGAAGACACAGATGAATCACAGGGATGTTAGGAAGTATTTCTTCAGCCACAGAGTAGTCAGTAAGTGGAATAGTTTGGGAAGCGATGTAGTGGAGGCAGGATCCATACATAGCTTTAAGCAGAGGTATGATAAAGCTCACGGCTCAGGGAGAGTGACCTAGTAGCGATCAGTGAAGAGGCGGGGCCAGGAGCTCGGACTCGACCCCCGCAACCTCAACTAGGTGAGTACCACTAGGTGAGTACACACACACACACACACACACACGTAAAGAAACTAGAGAACGTGCAAAGGTTCGCATCAAGAATAGTCCCAGAGCAAAGAGGTATGTCCTACGAGGAGAGGTTAAGGGAAATCAACCTGACGACACTGGAGGACAGGAGAGGTAAGGGAGACATGATAACGACATACAAAATACTGAGAGGAATTGACAAGGTGGACAAAAACAGGATGTTCCAGAGATGGGACACAGCAACAAGGGGACACAGTTGGAAGTTGAAGACACAGATGAATCACAGGGATGTTAGGAAGTATTTCTTCAGCCACAGAGTAGTCAGGAAGTGGAATAGTTTGGGAAGCGATGTAGTTGAGGCAGGATCAATACATAGCTTTAAGCACAGTCATGATAAAGCTCACGGTTCAAGGAGAGTGACCTAGTAGTGACCAGAGAAGAGGCAGGGCCAGGAGCTTGAAGTCGAACCTGCAACCTCAACTAGGTGAGTACAACTAGGTGAGTACGCACACACCCACACACACACACACACACACACACACGCACGCACACACACACACACACCACACACACACACAAACAAAACCCCACAAAAAAAAAAAAAAAAAAAAAAAAAAAAAAATGGGTGGCCCTAGAGGACGGAAAACCAGAGATCTGGTAGACGAACCAGGGAGGAAAGACGGGGAGTTAGAGCTCCAAAAAAGGGAGGAAGAGTGGGGAAGGGAAGATAGTAGAGCTTGGTAAAAAATGGAGGGCAGATAGCTGAAGAGTGCAGAAGGGGGAAGTACAGTCTTAGAAAGCAGAAGCTAGGATACAGTGCTTAGAAGAGAAACTGCAAAGCCTGAAACAGATTAGAGAGACAAATTACAATTCAGATGTGACATCAGGAAATTTAATGTCAGGCGCAGACAAGGACGGAAAAGCAACAACGAGAACATGACGTACACGAAGGCCCTATCAGATCCACGTGGGCCGGGGAAAAGACGAGGAGCACACTAAGATCAAATACAGGTCAAAAGACAATAAAGGGTATGCTATATGCAGAGATTCTAACAGCCAACTGCAGTAGAAAGGGGGACAGCTGGTCATGAAAGACAGTTCACTGAGAATAGAAGTTTCAGATATGACAGGGATTGAAGGCAAGAACATGTCAATGGAAGGAAATAAAATGCCTCAGAGGAAGCAGGTGGAGACTCAGTGGGAGGAGGAAAGGGCGAGGTCAGTTTTTGTGTACGGGCTCCAAGAAGCCAAGGGGGACAACTTTGGGAAGAAATAAAACAGGAGGAGAAAAAAATGATTGAAGGCATCATGAAAACAATAGGTGAGGGCGATATGACCCAGGTGACAAATTTTCAGAGAATTGGGTGGTTTGCGAGTGGAAGGATACGGCCTGTCAGAGAAACTTTCAAGGAAGAATCAGTTCGAACCAGGATTCTGCAAGAGAAAGCAAGACTGAGGGACAAACAGGGGTACCAAAGAGTATACCTCGACCGCGACAGAACACAAGAAGAAAGGATACACTAAAAGGGAGAGGGTACAGAGACGCAAGGGGGAACGAGAGGCAATGACGAAAATGAGCGGGACCCAAACAGGAGGAAGGGCAAACACACCCCACAGAATCTCCCACCAAAAGACTCCAACCGCGACATTCCAATGCAACTGAGCAACCTATACTACAACCCACTCACTGTTCCCTCTGCCACCAACCCCCATATCAAAAACCTCACCCCAACAGCTGTCCCTTTGGGCATTCTGACCCCACCCCCATCATCACAAACCCACCAACACCACAGCCCCCATATAGGCCCCCCACCAAGGCTCTCGCTCCCCCAACCCCCAATATTCTTGCATGACCACAATGATAGAAAAGAAACTGAAAGTTTGGTACACAAACGCGGAGGGAAATAATGAATAAACATGAGGAGGGGAACGAAAGAATCAGTGAAAAATCCCCCAGACATCATAGCACCCACAGAAAAAAAACTCGCTGAGACAATAACAGACACAATCTTCCCAACGGGATATCAGATCCTGAGGAAAGATAGAAGGAGTAGAGGGGGGGGAGGGTTGCACTGCTCATAAAAAAACCGATGGGGATTTGAGGAAAGGGAAAGGGCCCATGGACATGATTGGAGAAAGAGACTACATTGTAGGTACAATTCATCTGGAAAAACATAAAGTAGTCATTGGAGTGATGTATAACCCACCACAGAACTGCAGGAGGCCAAGAGAGGAGTACGAAGAAAACAACAGGGTGATGGTGGACACACTGCTGAGGTGGCAAGAAGAGCTCACTCGAGGAGAAGCAAAGTTACTGGAAAATGGGCGATTTCCAACCACAGGGAGATCGACTGGGAAAACCTGAGCCACATGGGGTCCCGAAACATGGAGAGCCAAGATGATGGATGTGGTACTTGAAAACCTCATGCATCAACATGTCAGGGACACAACCAAGAGAGAGGGGAGGATGAGCCGCAAGACTGGATCTTGTTTTTCACCCTGAGCAGTTCAGACATTGAAGACATCACTTACGAGAGGCCCTTTGGGAGCTAGTGATCACGTGGTTCTGAGTTTGATTATATAGTAGAGTTACAAGTGGAGAAGGTAACAGGAACTGAAGGGGACAGGCCAAAGTATAAAAGGGGGGACACACGGGTATGAGAAACTTCCTGCAGGGGGTTCAGTGGGACAGGAAATGGTAGGAAAATCAGTAAACGAGATGATGGAATATGTGGCAACAAAGTGCAAGGAGGCAGAGGAAAGTTTTGCCCCCCAAAGGGGAAACAGAAAAATAGGAGACCAAAACGAGTCCTGGTTTACCCAAGGTGTGGGGAGGCAAAAACTAATGCACAGAGAATGGAAAAGGTACAGGAGGCATAGGACCCAGGAAAACAAGGAGATTAAGTAGAAGAGCCAGAAACGAGTATGCACAGATAAGAGGGAGGCCCAGCGACAGTATGAAAACGACATAGCATCGAAAGTCAAATCTGACCCGAAACTGCTGTTAGCCACATTAGGGGGAAGACAACAGTCAAGGACCAGGGGATAAGGCTGAGGAAAGAAGGTGGAGAACTCACAGAAAAAGATCAAGAGTATGTGAGGAGCTCAACACAAGATTTAAGGGAAATATTTACAGTAGAGACAGGAAGGACTCTGGGGGGACAGACCAGATGGGGACACCAGCAAGGAATACACCAACAAGGGGTTGGACGACATACATACAGATGAGGAGGAGGTGAAGAACTGCTAAGGGACATCGAACCTCAAAGGCAATGGGACCGGACAACATCTCCCCGTGGGTCCTTTGAGAGGGAGCAGATAAGTTGTGCTGCCACTTACCACAATCTTCAACACGTCCCTGGAAACTGGGCAACTACCTGAGGTATGGAAGACGGGAAATGTAGTTCCCATTTTTAAAAAGGAGACAGAAAAGAGGCACTTAACTATAGACCTGTGTCATTGACGTGTATAGTATGCAAAATTATGGAGAAGATTATCAGGAGGAGAGTGGTGGAGCACCCGGAACTGAACAAGAGTATAAATGCCAACCAGCACGGATTCACGGAAGGCAAATCCGTGTCACAAACCTTCTGGAGTTTTTAGATAAAAAACAGAAGTAAGACACGAGAGAGAGGGGAGGGTTGATTGCATCTTCTTGGACTGCAAGAAGGGCCCTTTTACACAGTTCCTCCCCAAGAGATTAGTGCAGAAGCTAGAGGCATCAGGCGCATA